AGGCCAGCCTGAGCAACACAATGGGACCCTGTCTCTTATTTAATTTATTTTTAAAGTTTTTATCTTGTTACTTCATTTTGATCAAAATTCTATTACTCTACCCGATTAAGCTGCTTATTCAAAAGAATTGGCTACAAATAGCTGCTGTTTCACTTTCAAAAAACAAACATTTGCCATTGCTGAAGTTATTTTAAAAGGCCTATTATAGCAATTATCATATAGTAGTATATCGGACTTCTTCGCATTAATGAAACTATTAGCAACCTGAGAGTAAGAACTATGTCTAAATTGTCTCTGTAGAGTAATAGTGAAATGACTTGCAATGTGCCACAGGTTTAAAAGGCCATTCCAAAGATTTCCAAAAACTTTTCCAGTAACTGTAGCAGATCCTTTGAAAAACAGTCCTGTGTCGCTTAATGACAGTAATACATACTGGAAAATATATCTTTAGGTGATTTCATCATTGTGCAAACATCATGGACTGAACTTACACAAACCTAAATGGTATATAACCTACTACATAGCTAGGCTATATGGTATGGCCTAGTGCTTCTAGGCTGCAAACCTGTATAGCATATTACTGTCCTGCATACTATAGGCAATAGTATTTGAGTCTAAACACAGAAAAGGCACAGTAAAAATATGGTATTGTACTCTTATGGGACATCTGTTGTCTATGTAGTCTGTCATTATGTGGTTCCTGACTCTATATATTGTCTCAGTGTGAGGGAGGTGGAACCTATTTCTCCCAAGGTGTCTGAACATTCATGCATAAGTGTTTGTGCCCAATTTAGCTTCCTATTTCACAATGATTTGGGTGCATGGAGGGGAGGGTGTGACATACTGAAGGATATCAATAGCACACCTGGTAAGAAACATTTATTTGCAATTTAGCTATATTTCTTTGCAATCACACCTTAAACTTTCTAAGTACAACCAAAAGAAGGGCATTTCCCTAAGCCTTCCATCTTCATAAGGAAGATAAAACAGTTATCCAAGAGGAATGACATATACATTAATTATCCTCTCCATAATTCATTGGCTTGTCTCTTTCCCTTTCAAAGAGAAGTAAGGAGATGAGGGCAAGATTTATTACTTACAAACCATACCCCAAGAAATAAAAATAATTTGAACTAGCAGAAATGATTGTTGGCCTAACAGATGACCCGGGTTAAATGGGTCTATATTTTGAAGGAAGCAGAGGACTTTTATAAATTGGAATATACTACATTCAAGATTCAGGTAGAACCATGAAGGTTCAGGTATAGTTAGTAAGAATACAGTGGTCTGGGTCAGTGGCTCACATCTGTAATTCAAAAATCCTGGGAAGCCAAGGCAAGCGGATCGCTTGAGGCCAGGAGTTCAAGATCAGCCTGGCCAATACGGCAAAACCCCATCTCTACAAAAAATACAAAAATTAGCCGGGTGTGGTACTGTGCACCTGTCATTCCACCTACTTGGGAGGCTGAGGCACAAGAATCACTTGAACCAGGGAGGTGGAGGTTGCAGCGAGCCAAGATCGTGCCACTGCACTCCAGCCTGGGCAACAGAGAAAAACTCTGCCAACAAACAAACACACACAGTGGATGTTATAATACAAAATAGACCTTAAAGAATTCCAGTTGTAGAAAATGTCCACCAGGCCCTAATGTGAGCTTTTTGAACCAACTGTAGTTAAGTGAGGAAACATTACCCCTACCGCATCAGAGAGGAACCTCAAAATTAGAACATCTGGGGAATTTTCCTTAGATTATATAACTGAGGGGGAAAAATGTAGGTTCCAGATTTCAAATGAGATTCATGTTCTCATTCACCAGGTTTACATATATGTCATAAATATATCCCAGGTTTATAACTAAAACTCAGCCTCATTTCCTGCTAAAGCCTTGTCATAACTTGGAGATTTATGAGTCCTGGATTTTCTGGAGGTACTGTTTACGATATTCACTAAGACATTAGAAAGCCTTTTCCAAATCCTATCTTGCATATCCCCTCACGAATCTCACTGACATCTTAAAAAATGTGCCCTACAAAACTAGAGCAAGGGTGAACCCCTCTTTTAAGTAAATAAATGCAAACAGAACTGGTCTATTGATCAAAACTCACCTTCCAAAGGTAAAATCATACAGTGTTTAGAGACAGAGAAAGCATCTACCATGCCATAGCACTTCGTACCAACAGTCCAGTTTAAAAGCACAATTTGTACAATGGTGGCACTGTAAGCATTTGTAGATCACTGTTGTAAAAAACCCATAAACTTTCATTAAAAAAAAAAAAAAAAAAAAAAACAGGTTGGCTGTGGTGGGTCACGTCGGTTAATTCCAACACTCTGGGAGGCCAAGGCAGGAGAACTGCTTGAGGCCAGGAGTTTCAGACCACCCTGGTCAACACAGTGAGATCCTGCCCCTATTTAAAACACAAAAATCCATCAAATAGAAGAGGTAAGTAAGGTATTTCACCCCCTGCTTCTAGCTTAAAGTGAAGAAAGTACTCTAGTTTCAAATAATATGGTCCATCCTTTTAAGCCATCAGTTCTTCCCACTGGATTCACAGATGACAGCCCAATTCAATGAGCCTCCGACAGCAATAAAGTAACTTGCAAAATTTTATCATCATCATAGCAAAAACTTTAAAAACATGAACACAGAATCCCAGGGACAGATGAAGATACCTCCATCAACCCCCTTGTGCAGCATTTCCCAATTTCTGAAAGAGAATACCAACTTCCTCCTTGTACGTGTTCAAGTGAATAATACAGATCTTCTATTAATCAGCAATGTGAAATATCTACACTGTACAGTCCTGACAGAACATGCCCTTGAGCTCTCTGTACTATGAATCCAAAGTTTGATAAAGACATGTCTGAAGGGTATGCAGTCCCTTCTTTCATTTACTACATCAAGAGTTTTCAAGCATTTTTTTACGCTATAAAATATTTGTATAAAATCTTACATAACTGGTTGAATTTACAACTCTGGTTGAAATATGTGTCAGAGAATTCAAAGCCTTGCCTGTGTGTTATCCCCTTCCTTCAAAAATAAGGAAACAAGTAAGAAAACAATGGTTACATGTAGAAACAGTATGGGTTTTGGAGTGAGTAAAACCAGGTTTTAAATTTTATCCTCCTATTTAATAACCATGTCTTTATCACCTCAAAACCCAAGTTGTCTCATTTGTAAAACGGCTAGCTCCTTCCTCACGGGGTAGTTGTGGAATAAACCATGGTATGCAGAGTGACTAGCATGGTGCCTAGCACAATGCGGATACTCAATAATGGTTTCTTGTATTCGAAAAAAAACTACATAAACTGGTACCACTTGTTACTCATAGTAATCTGATTTAATCTTTTCCTCTAACAGTATGCTTATTGGACTGGTGATCATCACAACCGCTGAGAACCAGCACTCAGTTGAAGGGCAGATCTAAAAACTCAGCCTGCATAAAATTATTACACAAAGATTATGAACTTCCAATTAAAATGAAATTTGGCAACATCAAATTCAGGAAAAAAGCTTCTATGTGCACTATAGCAAGAAAGAAGCCGACAAGATAAAGCCTTACCAGATAAACGATAATTACCTATAATAGTCTCCACATATTCAGAGTTATCATTGACATTGAAGAGGTCCCCCGCTCCAAGAGCATAATTCAGAGACTCCTCAAAAGCCCCCAGGTGATAAAATACTTTAGATGCCACCAAGGCTGCAAACTGCCGACTCCGGAAACCTTCATCTTCGTATAAAACCTCTCTGAAAGAAATTAGAAGTACAGGTCTAGTTCAAACTGTGGTTTTCCCTAAAAATCCCAAATCTAAATATTTAAGCCACAATTCAGTTAACAGCAAATTTCTAAATGAATCAATAAGCCACAAGACCCACATTGACAATTAAATTTGATCTACCTTATTCTGATTTATAAAAATAACTTCTTACATTTTGTCTACAGACTCGGAAATCTCTGCCCAGAAGTCATTAACAACTGCATTCAATTTGTGTAGTGCAAATTCCTGTAAAAGACAACCAAAATCCTATTTTGAGATAAACTTATCATTACACTTCCTTAAAAAATTATTTTCAGCAAATCAATGATCAAATCCTCAGTAATATTTACTCAAACTTTTACTCTATGACAAATACAAAAATTTATCAACTTATACTTTTTCTTGAGTTTACACATTTCTTTTCTTTTTCCAATCATCAACATTTTTCTTCTTTGAATATAAACAATTAACTACAGGTTGCTGGTTTAGATGTATAGGAATCAAGTATCTAGAGCCACTAGAAGTACATCCCAAATTTCCATCAAATAAAAAACTTTAAATATGTGAAAGAGAAAAGCAACACCTTTTTGTGTTTTCTGTTGATAACGAAACTGGGGTCGGGGGAGGGGAAGGTGTGGTGGCTCAAACTCGTAATCCCAGTACTTTGGGAGGTCAAGGCAGGGGGATCACTTGAGCCCAGAAGCAGGAGTTTGAGATCAACCTGGACAACATAGTGAGACCCCATCACAACAAAAAAATTTAAAAATAGCTTAGCTGAGTGTGGTGGTGCACGCCTATAGTCCTAGCTACTTGGGAGGCTGAGGTGGGAGGATCATTTGAGTCCAGGAGGTCGAGGCTGCAGTGAACCATGACCACACACTGCACTCCAGCCTGGGTGACAAAGTGAGACTCTGTCTCAAAAAAAGAGAAAGATTAAAAAAAAAAAAAAAAAAAGAAATTAGGGGGCTATTCAAGTGCCGTAATGAGGTTTATTTGTCTTAGCTTTGTTAAACTCAAGGGAAACCAACTGCTGTGGCCAAAATACTATCCTCTCTGGCTCGGTTACAATAATTGGGTACAAGTCAGCTAGGATAGCAACTTTAAATGATGGAAGATTACAGACATCACTAAATTCAAAAGGCTTCACAGTATTCACACTAAGCCTAGTTACTTTTTCTTCAATTCATACCTTAAGCTGTGGCTCATCTTCATCCAGAAGAGAAATAATTCCAGCTATGAGAGAAAAGATGTAACATGATTATGAAACACATTCTCATTAAAGTGGAAATTAACACCTGGTCAAAAATATATGATGGCTGAAAAACAATTTTTTTGAGGGGTAACTTCTCTAGGGGAATGATTATTTTTCTTTGAAAGTGTAAAGGTTTATATCTCAAGTTTAAGACTTAACTATATTATCAAACCCTCATGGCACCACATACATCACATCACTTGCCTAATTCAATGGTTTTCAAAGTGTGGTCCCTGGAATAACAGCATTAGCATTGCTTGGGAACCTGTTAGAAATACAAATTCTTGGCCCCACTCCAGAACTACTGAATCAAAAATTATGGAGATGGGGCCCAGTACTGTGATTCTTTTGCTTCCTATAGTTTGAGAACCATTGGCCTAATTTACTGATTAAAATGGGAAACTTTCCTGTACAATTTTAGAATAAAATTATTCATACAAAATAAATCAACAGTTATAAGATTACTTACAAAAATGGGAGCATTTAGTCATCAACTCAACAAGGTAAAATACTTCAATTATTTCAAGGTGTGTATATTATGGCACCTCTCTCTTATCACAAGTAACCTGGGTTTTACTAAATGATGAACAATCATACTCATTCTGAATTCAATTACCCAAGCACAGTGTTCTCCATATGGCTTCTCTTAGCCTCAGGGTATTACCACTAACATAGGAGAGTAAAAGGAATAATTGTCCTCTCCAAAAGAACACAGCTTGAAATATAGTCAAAGGTCAAAGGGATTATTGGAAAAATGATACGGGAAATTATTGTACTTAGACCACAAAGGAAACCACTCTCAAATGTTTTCCATGTGGGTTTTAAAATCATTCCAGAACACTGAGTTGAAACTGTGATTTGATTAAAAAGTGTCAAGGCAACTTAGTTAGATGTAGCCATTTCTAATGGACAAGTATAGGTTTGCCAAATAGCTTAAGCAGTCTTTAGAGAGCCATACAGGAAAAGATACAAAATCTACCAAGCAAAACTAAAGAAGCATAAAAGCAGATATAAAGAACCTCTTGGTACTCCAGGTTGGTATGACAAGGCCAGAACAGGGATTCTGAATGGACAGCACAGGGAACAGATAAATTTCAAAATTCAATCAATGAAAAAGAAAAAATTGCAAACTAGTGATAAGGAGTAAGAGGACAGGCCAGAACGCTTTAAATGTAGAACAGATCTTAAATAACAGAACACCTAATACTAAAACCGCCACCTATCCTCAATCAATGTATCTGAACTGCTTTTACCAAAAAGGGAGATGGATTTTTACATTCTTTGGTTTGGTTCCACTTATGACTAACTGGTTACATGATTGTCCTGGCTTGGAAACTCAGCCTCTGGCCATGGACCAGAACTAAATAAAATACACTCCATACATTAGTACTCCCCATCTTAAAAACAAAACAGAACTCTCTTCTGGAGAGGGGAGAGAATGGGAAAGGCCTAAGGATGCTAAAAACTTCTTATGCCATTATAGGAACTGAGCAGATATTGGTCTAAACTTGTTGAATCAATTGACAGAAATATTTGGATATTATTTACAAATATGGAGATATGTTCCAGAAGACACAGCTTAAAAGTTGGGAATAGTTGCCTCTGGGGATCAGGGGAGGGAAAGTGAGGTGGGGGACTATTGTTTTAAAGCTTTTTAGCACAACTTGCCTTTATGTGTCTGTATGATGTTTTAAAAAAAAAAAACACAAACTCACTCAATTTCACATCTCCTGCCTGTAAGTACCTCTCTCTCTCTCCACTCCCCTGCATGGTCAAACCTCTTGAAAAAAACTAATAGAACATGTTGAGCTCTTATTCACCACCGTATGCTAGTGCCTAGCAACTGCCTGGTCAATAAATGAATGAACAAATTGACTAATCCACACCAGAACCAGGACACTAGCCTGTTTAGCACCTGGGACAAATTCTAAGCCAACGTGAGCCATAGGACAGAAAACAAAGTGACAAAATATTTTAAAGACAGTTGACAAGTAACCCAATAAACTTCAATGGCATTAATAAACACGTACTATATGATCACCACAGAATCTCAGGAGAGGACCTCAAAAATTATTAGTTTTGCCACCTTAAAGAGGCTTAAAGTCTATTATATTGTCACCAAGTGCTTTTTCAGCCTCTACTTTAAAAACTCAAGGGACTGATGAATTGCTTTGATTAACTGACTGAGCTCTTCAGTCAAGACATACTTTTGAATTTCTGCCATGCTCTCAGCAGTGTTCTAAGAATTGTGAAAACAAGCTTCCTGCTCAAAATTCTACCAGGGAGAGACAGACAGTAATCAGGCAAGTAAACAAACAAGGTAACTACAGAGTTGTGGTGGAGAGAGAGTAAGCGTGTTTCAATAGAATGATCAGGGAAGGATAACATTTGAGTGAGAGGAAAGACTGAGAAGCTAAGGGAAAATCTGAGGAAAAGAAGACTAGAAAGGAACAGAATGTGCCAGGGCCCCGAGATAGGAAAGAAACTGACATATTCAAGGAACAAAAAAGCCAGTGTGATTAGGATGTATTGAGTGAAGAAGAGAGACTACAAGACAAGGTGGGAATCAGATCATGCGGGTCCTTGGTTAAGAGTCTGGATTTTACTGTATGCCAGGGGTGTCCAACCTTTTGGCTTCCCTGGGCCCCAGTGGAAGAAGAACTGTCTTGGGGCACACATAAAATACACTAACACTAATGACAGCTAATGAGCTAAAAACAAAAACAAAAAACAAACAAACAAAAACTTTGTGTATAATTTTCACGATATCCGCCACCACAGACAAGAAAAAAAGTCCTTGACAAAGGGTTGGACACGGCTGCTCTAAACACAATGGAAGCACTGGTGGATTGTAAGCGAAGACGTATTACGTGATTAAAGTTTCAAAAAGCATACTTCACAAGAAAAACGGACTGTATGGAGGTAATGGTCGAAAACAAAGCCTTAAGGCTGATATAGTAACCCAGACAAGAGATGAAGGTGGTTTGGGCCAAGTTAGAAGAAACAATGGTAATGGATGGATTTGAAATAGAATGAGGCCTATAAGCGGCTAGAAACTGAGTGTTTATTTGATCTGTACAAAGCTCTGACTGGAAAAACTTCCTGATACCGAACTAAAATTCATCTCGCGATCACTTGTATTCCTTGGGGACAAAAAGTCTTATTCCAGGGACAAGTGACAGCTCTTCAAATGTTTGAAAGTAACTATGTCTCCCAGTATCTCCAACGATCTCCTTAACCAATCCTCGTAAAAATAAACTTTCGATCGCCTTACCATTCAGATTACTGTCTTCTGCTCACCAGTCTGTTTACAATAAAATGCTTTTTTTTCGTGGGTCAAGCACAGAGTAGGAAAATGAGAAAAGGGTATGTAAGCAGGCAAGGGAAAAAAGTACCAAGGCTCTGGACAGCTACAAGCAAGTCAACCTGTCGGGGGAGCTGAAGTCTCCATTGAAACTTGATCTCTGTAACTTACTCCATTGCAAAAGTCACTACGTGAATCTACCTATGCAATGGTTTGCGTGTATGAAACCTGCTCCGCAGATCCATCCACCTTTCTTGAATGTACAATCAACAGACTGAGCACATAACCTCGAAAGGGTAAGCAGGCTCTCAGTATAAAGTTATCTCCAAGGCGTCTTCAGGGTCTTCACCGAACCCAGAAGTTATCTATCTGTTTTGAATGAACACCCTTGGGTCGGACCCAGAAATGAGCCATCTCAAACCTAATTCCGGGTTTCATTCTAAGGAGAAAGGAGCTCGGCCACGTCCAGAAACACTTCTGTAGCTGTTAGGCTGCCTGGCCAGGGGGTTGCCTTACTATTCAATGGCACAGGGGCCCATCCCACCCCGACCCCCTGCGGGGAAGGACTGGGGCTGGACGACCTCACACGGCCAAGAATGGGAGGCAGAGGAAAAAAGGGAAACCCTTTTGGGGTAGGGGGAAGGCCCAGGAAGCCCCTCGGGTCCTGGCGCTGGGGTGTGGTTGGGGAAGGATGCCAAGGCGGTCGACCCGGCTCGATTCCCTCAAGCCAGAGAAGCAAGCAGTGGCCTGATCAGACTCCCAGCCCCCGGCCCGGAGGTGGGCCTTAGGCAGCGAGAAGCTGCCCAGGCCAGCGCTCCGCCGGGAGGTGCCCAGTCACCGGCCCTGACTCAGCTAAAAGCCGGCGCGACGGCGGCTCCTCCCTCTAGGCGCTGGCTCCGAGCCGCACTCACCGGCCGAGGTGATCATGGCTGCGCCCCTCACTCGCCCGTCGGCTCCCTTGCCGTTTCAGCTGCGCAGTGTATCTGTCAGCTCAGGACCCGCTGAGTTCACCGCGCCTCCTCGCTCCGCGGGTGCGCTGCTCAGTCAGTCGCCTCCTCAGGCCGCCGGCTCTCTTCTCGCCAGGACCCCTCCCGCCCCGGGGCTGCCCGCCGCCCCGCCTGCCGCCCGGCGCGAATTCTCCCCGGGACTGCGTCTTCTGCGCCGCGGTCTACTCCCCAGTTCTCGCGGAAGGGTAAACGGAGAACACCATTGTTTTCTGTAAACCTCCTCGAGGTCAGGAGTACCGCGCGGTGGGAATACTGGTCTGCACCTGAGGTCAGGCATTAGAATGGCCACACCTATAAAGAGAGGACCCCATCATCACCCGCCATTGCTGAGAGAAAGGGTGTTGAGGGGAGGTGCGAGCATTGCGCGCAGTGCCACCTGCTGGTGGGAGGTCTCGCTGCAGCACATCTCCCACCAGCCAATACTTGGGGAATTGGGGCAGCGGCAGACAGCGTTTTTTTAAGAAAAGTGGCTTTCAATTGTTTTCTAAAGCAAAACCCATCATAAAAAAAAAAAAAAGAAAATCCCCACAGAAGTGCTTTATTATCATAATGAATCCACAAGTAATCATTGGCTTATTATAAAGTTAAACAATGAAGGTTTTTACTTACTTTTGGAATAATGTCCAGTGTTGTCAGTGTATTAAAATGTGCAGTAGTTATATGGTGAAAGCCTTTCCAAGGGAGAAAAAATGTCTTCCGTTCTTTCCTTCTATCTGCCTAGGTCCTCTTTTCCCCTGACGGCAGTGGGTTCTTCGCTTCTAATACATCTTCAGAAATTTGAAATGGCAGTTGCAATGGCCATTTGCAGTCTTATACTAGCTTCAATAAGCCAATTTATTTCAAGAGTCAGTACTGAGAAAGTCTTGACAAAGAATAGTGGCAAACGGTAGCATTTTTTCAGCCACTGGCCATGCACTATCAAGTTAAACTCTTCAATCGGACAGCGATGGCAAGTTCATTTCTACGGCCTTCTACCTAACCTAGGGGCACAATCAATGTCTTGTGGCTGCCAGTGAATTAAATGTGCTTGATAACACATTTTGTTCTATGTGTGAGTTTTTTTTTTTTTTTAAGTTAGAATTCTTAAACTGTGGCTGTTTAAAATATATTAAACATAATTATTGAACACTTTTGAAGAGCCTGTGGCTCGGATTGAAAGGCAGGGCTCGAGAAGATGTGCATGCAAAGGAAACAGATTACTTGAGGTGTCATTCTACAGAGGCACTTCTGTTTTTTTGAGACAGAATCTCCCTCTGCTACCCAGGCTGGAGTGCAATGGCGTGATCTTGGTTCACTGCAACCTCCACCTCCTGGGTTCAAACGATTCTCCTGCCTCAGTCTCCTGAGTAGCTGGGACTACAGGCGCGTGCCATCACACCTGGCTAATTTTTGTATTTTTAGTAGAGACAGTGTTTCACCGTGTTATCCAGGATGGTCTCAATCTACTGACCTCATGATCTGCCCACCTCGGCCTCCCTAAGTGTTGGGATGACAGGCGTGAGCCACCGCACCCGGCTCTACAGAGGCCCTTCTACCAAGCCCTCACATGAAGACACCTGTGTGCCCCAAACCCCTAGAGGATTCACAAACAAATGCCAACAGGTAATGAAAATGAGTAAAGCAGGCCCAGCAAAAGAAAATACAAGCTCCACAGGATGGCGAATGGCAACTAACAGTGTCAAGGAGGCACTAGGAGGTGGTGGGGACTGTGATAAAGAGTGAGTGCCTGGCAGGGCACAGTGGCTGACAGCTGTAATCCCAGTACTTTGGGAGGCCGAGGTGGGTGGATCACCTGAGGTCAGGAGTTCGAGACCAGCCTGGCCAACATAGTGAAACCCCATCTCTACTAAAAACAAAAATTAGCCCGGTGTGGTGGTGGCTGCCTGTATTCCCAGCTACTTGGAAGGCTGAGGCAGGAGAATCGCTTGAACCTGGGAGGCGGAGGTTGCAGTGAGCCGAGATCGCACCATTGCACTCCAGCCTGGCAATAGAGTGAGACTCCGTCAAAAAAAAAAAAAAAAAAAAAGTGAGTGTCCCATCTAAAGAGAGCAACTGCTATTAAGTTCCTGCCAAGAATGCAGGGTGACTGTTGGAAGACCTATGTTTTTTCTAAGAGAAGCCAGAAATCAGAATTTCATGCAATATCTCCAGAATTTTAAATGTTGGCTACTAATTCAACATGTTTTAAAACAGAGAGGTGGTCAACGTGCCACCTCTGCTCTTCAAGGAGAAGGCATTCTGTATGAGAGGACAATCCTGTCTTCCACTTGGATGTTGTGTGTGTCATTGCCACAAACCCGTGTGAGCCTCACGTGAACCTGTGAGATGGGCAAAAGGTAAGAAGCTTGGACGCAGACATCAGGCGCCTTCCCCCGGAGGATTCTGTTCTCCCTCCTGGGTGACTGGCCCAGGCCTGTGGCTTCTCCCTCTCCAGTCCATTCTGCATTCCTTAGCCGGAGCAATCTTTTTGAAACTCAACTCTGATTAATTCCGCTCCTTCAAACCTTCAGTCCCCATCTTGGACTCTATTTTTTTTTCTTTTTTTTTTTGCATCTTTCTTCTGTGTTTCTGTCCATAGCCGCCTTCTCACTCCCTGCATCCCCTGTAAGAGTGAAATGCCATTGGCTGCTGTGCACAAGGTGGTGGCTCATAAAACGTGTCTCTACTGCCCTGCCCTCTCTCCTGAGAACAGACTCACACACCTCCCGGGCATCTCTGCTTGGTGGAGTCACAGGCTCCTTCAACTCAGTGACCTCAAAGTTGTGCACACTCTTGTGGCCCCGGAGTTGTGTGTCTCCTTCCTTGACCTCAGTGTGGGTGAAGGACATCCATCAGCCACTGCAACAGAAACCTGACTCTTCTCTTCTCCCACAACCGTCAGCACCAGATCTCCTCTTTAATCTCTCACACCGGCCTCTCCCATCCTCACTCCATGACCCAAGAGTTGCCTCCCCCTCTTCTTTCCAGACCATGACTGCCTTCTACAGCCTTGACTTCCTGTTTACAGTCCCAGAAGCCTTCGGTCCACTCTTCACAGCCAGCCAGGAGCATGATCAGAACCAACATGAGCACGACTTTCTCCTCCAGGATGGTGGGACTATCTTCATGTGTCTACAGTGTGGCTCTGGCGTGCCACACTCCAGCCATCCTGAACCCCTGAAGCTCCCAGAGTGGCCACATGGCCATGTACCTTGTCGCTGACCTTTGTACCTGCTCGTGTCTCTGTCGTCAAGGCTCTCTCCCCCACACTCCAGGTTAACACCACTTACTTTGAGTCTCAGTCAGGCGGCACCTCCTCCAGGAAGCCTTTTTTGGCCCAGCCCACCATAGGCTCCCTTAAAGCCTTTACTCCACACAGCTGGTATCACATCTCCTTGCCCCAGTCCCAACTAGGCAAGCAACTACTCAAGGGCAATGCCACATCTTGGGTAATTCATCTCACTGCCCACTAGAGTAACTAGCAGTTATTGGGCACATAATAGGTGCTCAATAAATGTTTCTCGGATGATCGGATGAATACCCGGTCATTTAGTTATTGGCACAGGGCTAAAACTCAGACCTACGGTTCTGAAACCCTTGCCCTGCCCAAGACTCTAAAATGAGCTCTATTTTTTAGAACATAGTGAAATCACGGAAAGAATTCTTAGGATGTGCTCGATTTAGAAACAACCTCCCTCCAATGTTGAGTGACACAAAACTTCTTAAAGCCCAATCAAGGTCAGCTGTGGCCTCACACAGGTATCGGCTGGGCTGGGAGCCTTGTCAGGGTTCGGGGAGGAAATCGCGGCGGTGCCTGACCCTGGGTTATGCGCTCTCTTTCCCGGCGAGGCCACTGTGGTTTCCGAGCTGCCCAGAGCATCTCCCCGCGGCGCCCGCTAGTGGGCGCAATGCCTCCTAGGAGGCGGGCGCTGGGGAGGAAGCTGTGACCGCCCCTACCGCGCCGCGCAGCCTGCAGGCATTCACGTCCCCGGGTTTTAGAAGGGCTCCGTTCTCTGGTCGAGAATCGAGCTCGACTGCCTCTTGAGCTGCACGGAGATAAGGTGGAAGGGGGAGGCCCGTGGAGCCCGGGAGCCCGGGAATCAAATCCCTGCTCTGCCACTTCGCAGCGCAGCGCTGTGGCCGCGGGCGTCCCCCGAGCCCAGTCTCTCCCGCAAAAGGAAAAGGGATGGCTGGATCCACCTACCTGGCAGGGCCGCCGGGACGCGCAGCGCAGCGCTCAATACACCACGGATTTTATGGCTACTCAGCACGAGGCTGGTGGCTGTTTCACGTACAACACGCGTGCCACATATTTTTAGAGTAAAAGCATTTATTCATGGGAGCAGAGATGCGAAACGCAGCCGGGAGACACGGGCCTCCCATGGGTGGGTGCTGGGTCAGAGGGAAATGCCTCATCAAGGCTGGAATTGGTCTGGGTGGACTGAGGTACGAAAGGATCGGTAAGGAACTAGGTTCTCTTCCAAGGATGGTGTCCAGGAGGGCGCATATTTTGGGCAATTGGAAGGCTGCCCTGCCCAAGCCGACTCCTGGACGCCGCTGTCCTGCCCTTGCCCAAGGGTCTGGGGTGACCAGCAAGCTCTGGGTGACTGTGGAGGCAAATGCCGCAGGAATCACAATGAACCCCAAGACAGGCCTCTCACCTGTTTCCCGTGTGTTTTTTTTTGTTTGTTTGTTTTGTTTTTGTTTTTTTGATACGGAGTCTCGCTCTATCACCCAGGCTGGAGTGCAGTGGCGCAATCTCGGCTTACTGCAACCTCTGCCTCCCGGGTTCAAGCGATTCTCTGCCTCAGCCTCCAGTAGCTTGGATTACAGGTGCCCGCTATCATGTCCGGCAAATTTTTGTATTTTTAGTAGAGATGGGGTTTCACTATCTTGGCCAAGCTGGTGTTGAACTCCTGGCCTCAGGTGATCCACCCACCTCGGCCTCCCAAAGTGCTGTGATTATAGGCATGAGCCACCGCGCCAGGCTTCCCCTGTTCTCGAGGGGTACTGTCCAATACAGTAGCCACCAACCATAAGTGCTATAGAGCAGCTGCAATGTGGCTAGTGCATCTGAGGAAATGCATTCTAAACTTTAATTAATTGAATTTAAAAATAGATACTAATTCCATAGCTGCAAAACCTTTGAGTATATTTGAAACAATTTGAGGATGTGTACATTTAATGAAATCTAAATACAGATAAAGTTTTTCTGATGAAAATGTAATATTTGAATTGGGCTCTAAGTGTAAACTTCTCATGGGATTCAAAGACAATATGCAAAACAGAGGGCAGAATGTCTCGATAATTTACAGTTGAAATGATACTTTAGATATATTGGGCTAAATGAAATGTATGATTAAAATTAATTTTATCTGTTTCTTTTTACTTTTTTCTAATGTGGCCACCATAGAAAGCTACCTACGTGCCTGCGTTAGATTCCTTTTAGACAGGGTTGGCTTAGACCTTCTCCTGGGCCTTCTTCCCTCTGACCTCCCATTCAGGCCTGGCCCTTTGGCCTTGCTTCAAGGTTTTGTCCACTCTTTGGAGCTGCCATATGCTGGGTCAGACCAGAACCGGGGGCAGAGGCTAAAGGTGAGACCCGCTCCCTCCTGTCCAGGAGCGAGGGGCTGGGGGCGGGGGCTACCCTGGCAGCCAGGAGTTCTGGAGCCAGTGATATACCTGGGACAGTGGTGGTCAGGGTGAGCTTAGGCTGGGGTTGGGGTAATGATTCAGGACAACACCCTGCTCTGAGATATTGTTAACTGGTGAGGAAGAGGAGGAACTCAGGGCTACAAGACACAAACTAAGTTTCTGTAACCACGACTCAAAATCAGGCTTGGTCACAGGACTAAGCGAGGCACCTAATTACTAAGCGAGTGCAGACGAGGACAACAACAAGCCTTCCTTGAGGGTCTCTGAATTTCACTGGTCAAAGAACAGGCAGTCCTCGGTCTGCATTTGTGGCAGGAGTCCCAGCTGAGGCTGGGGAGCCCAGGGAGGACACCAGAGAGGGTTCGCACCCTTGCCAAAACCACAGCCCCACAGTGGCCTCAGCG